AGGATCCATTCGGCAGGGCCGCTCCTCGTGAAATCAGGTTCAACGCCTACTTCCATCTGATATTTCGCAGTGTGTCCTCGAGGGTTACGGTGGATATGACGTATGCGCACAGCGCGGACAATGCTAGCAACCTGATTCTTCTCTCCGCCATCGAAATTTACAACGTACCGCGCAATGCTTCATGGTTAACCCTAACTAATTACAGTCCTATATCTTCCATATGGGCTGGATTAGTCCTAAATAATATAGAACAGTGGTTAAATGAGGCAGCTTTACACCTGAAGCCATTGTATTGCTATTACTAAGTCCAAGCTATGCATATGTGTTTCTTTTCGGTGATATTGGTCTGCTAGCACGACGTTTATTTTAAAATACAAGAGAGGGTTTTCATTGAAAATCATGGATGCCTACTCGGATTATGTCAAACCTGACTACCACACTGTGGCATTGTTCAGTCCAGTTCAGTTTTTTTGAGAGAACGTATGTGGGCACCTTTGAAATCAGTATTTGCGACACATAGAGGAAGTATGTGAAAAATGTTTAAAAGGAGTAACATCAAAGACCTACAAATAATGTATCAAAATCTGCACAGATAAACAAGGTATTTTATACGCTAGCAGCTTTGGTAGACATGTGTACTCAGGTAGGTGCGTAATACAGCAATTACTTGAAGCGCATCTAAGCTACAGGGAAAGTAATATAATCTGTAGTTGGCCATTGTCAAGGCAGCATCGTCGGCTTGGTACCTCAAATGGTTAGAGGCATGGACTTTTAACTAACAGGTCGCGAATTCGAGCCTCGGGTGTTCCACACTTTGGGGTTGGGTACGACTGGCTGAGGACGGCTCATAAGCCAGAAATGGTCATTCCTATCTCGGTTGTCTTTGTCGGTAATAACATACTGCCTACATCATGCACCGCTGTGCGTCTTCTGGTTGGGCTCAGGGAGAGAGAGCCCGTAAGGCACCACGGAACGAGTGAGTTCCGTAAGAACGATCGGTGGGCGCCGCCTATCACTGTATATTCCCGATCGAAACCGACAAGGCAACGGGCTCGTGGCCCAGCGGTAAAAGTTCTGTGGGAGGTTGCATGCAAACTCTGAAGGCAGCTTCCGCACATTTTCCAGCCGTACTTTCATCCAGGCACTAACCCCCGCCCGCCCCTAAGGTGGGTCCAGAACAAGGGCTAAGAACTATCAGCCGGTGATCCTAACATGTACTTGTTGCAAAGTTATGGAAAGGACAGTCGAAAAACTACTATGAAGTTCATCAAAGAAAAGGATTTCTTTGAGAGCGTCTAGCATGGCTTTCGACGAAACCACTCTAGAAACCACTCTGCTGGTTGGGCTCAGGGAGAGAGAGCCCGTAAGTCACAACGGAACGAGTGAGTTCCGTAAGAACGATCGGTGGGCTCCGCCTATCACTGTATATTCCCGATCGAAACCGACAAGGCAACGGGTTCGTGGCCCAGCGGTAAAAGTTCTGTGGGAGGTTGCATGCAAACTCTGCAGGCAGCTTCCGCACATTTTCCAGCCGTCCTTTCATCCAGGCACTAACCCCAGCCCGCTCCTAAGGTGGGTCCAGAACAAGGGCTAAGAACTATCAGCCGGTGATCCTAACATGTACTTGTTGCAAAGTTATGGAAAGGACAGTCGAAAAACTACTATGAAGTTCATCAAAGAAAAGGATTTCTTTGAGAGCGTCTAGCATGGCTTTCGACGAAACCACTCTAGTTTAGTCAGTGTACTGTGTTAAATGGAGGAGTAGTCTCGCTCGGTAGATGACGAGATAGAGCAGTCGACTTCGCTCAAATCACCTTTAATAGCGTTCCACACCTCCGGTAACTCTATCATGTCCGTGAGTCCGGGGTAAGGGGAACCTACCAAACTGAATAGCGAACTTCTTGATCGGCTGATCACAGTTTGTGTGCCTTGGTGATGCGAAATCAATGCCAGTGCCGGTTGTAAGCGGGGTACCTCAGGGCTCCGTGCTCCAACCACTAGCGTTTTTAATTTATGTCAATGACTGTACGAACGGACTTGACTGCAAGGGAGTCATGTTTACAGATGACAGCGACATTTGACTGGCGATCAAATGTAAAACTGATGAGCGGACTCCCCAACAAGGACTAAACTGCCAGACTGAATGACTGTTAAAGTTTTTCTTTGCAAAGTCCGTTGCGCAGCGGTTTAAAACGAAGATGGAGAGGGCAGATGGAGATAATCCTTAGCAGTTCCTTGGTAAAGAGCACCTATCAAATAGGATTAAATAAAAGGACCTCGGAATCATCATTTTGACCTCTCTGAAGCCCTCCTCTCAAACCGGCAAACAAGCATCTTTACTCTGTACCCAACATTAACGGGTCATTATATACAGTAGGTGAGCTAACTCATGAAATGTCAACCGAAATTCCGAAATACGTTTTCGTTTTGAAAAGATTAATTAAATAGTGCTATAAAACTGGTCATCATTCAGCATAATTCCGTAATATTTTAGTTGCCTCAAAATGACGGATAACGAATTAACTTCCTTCCGGCTGCATGCAAAAACCACACATGCCGTAAGAAACCGATAGTTACAGTAGGTGGGCTAACTCATGAAATGTCAACCGAAATTCGGAAATGCGTTTTCGTTTCGAAAAGATTAACTAAGTAGAATTGTAAAACTAGCCGGCCTGTAACATAATTCTATAATATTTCAGTTACCACAGGATGCCGGCTTTCGAATGAACTTCCTTCTGGCTGCATGCAAGAACTACACTCTGCAAACCAAATGACTACTTAAATAGCATGCACTTTTCTCATTAATTTTCGATGCCTCCAAAGGTCATATTATATTTCATGGAAAACAGGCATAAAAATATTCATCCTTTAGCTCATTCGGCAGATAATTACGTCTTCTAATTTTATACTCGAAGGAGGGATATAATTCTGTTTTAAAAAGGTTTCGAATTTTGGGACATTTAAATACTGTGTAGTGGCCGTTCATAAATCGTCATGTCTCTGCATTTACCAATGTGACTTGTAAAGTTAACAATATGGATCAAATCCACAGCTAAATTTTATGAACCCCATATGGTCACCCTTTATTACCGTGGATAAATGTATGGTTTTCCGTGCGCGGAAAATATACGACTTGTAGTTTGGAAACCCTGAATCCAAGGATTACGGTAGAACGGGTTCAACATTGTCGATTTAGCAGAAGAAGATGTGAGAAAGGAACCTCTTACGCTTAATGTATGCAAGTCACTGGGCCGAATCAAATACTGGTAAAGGTTCTGCGGGAGTTTGCATGCAAATCCTCCAGAAAGCTTTCCAATGTTTCCCAGCCGTCCTTTCATCCAGGCACAAACCCCCGCCCGCCCCTGGGGTGGGTCCAGAACAAGTGCTAACAACTATCAGCCGGTGGCCCTAACATGTATTTGTTGCAAAGTTATGGGAAGGATGGTCAAAAAACTACTATGAAATTCCTGCAAGAAAAGGATTTCTTTGACAGCGTCTATCATGGCCTTCGGCGAAACCACTCTTGTTAAGTCAGTATACTTTGTTAAGTGGAGGTGATCATAGGAAGATAGCACATATCATGAAACCAAGTCCGCTGACAGCTTGTGGTCGCGTATTTGAATTTAAGCTTCCCAGACGAACTCATTTCAGGAGAAATAGGTCTCATCACTCTTTCGAATTCTTCACTCCACTGCAAGCTGCCGTGGCCACTCTGTCGTCATTTTCAACCGGGCTGTTATACTGATCTGTGACTATCTCAGGATTAAGTGATATGGAAGTGATGGAGCTTGTTGGCCTGCAAGGTTTTACACGACCACAGTCATCGTCAGAGAAACTACCCTCTCCCGTCCCCAATGTCATTAATCTGCCGGGTTATAGTGATGCCAATCAGATAAGACGTCTCGCACGACAGCTTTTTACGTTGTTTGCTTGTTAGCTGGGATCGGTATGCTGGCCGAAATTCATCAGGTTTTAAAATGGGAGTTGATTTATTTTTGGTTGCTGCGGTAGTGAAAGCGCAGGCATATTCTTCAGTGATAATTGGTTTTTGTCTGCTCGAACGTTGCCAGAAGGCCTCGTTCAAAAATAGTGGGTTTTAATTTGTCCTATCGCCAAGGTTTGCACCTATACAAATTGAATCACAATATGAGAGAATATACAGTAGATGACCTAACTCATGAAGTGTGTCGAAATTTGCGAATGATTGCCAATCACTCGCAAACCGACAGCAATTCATGAATCCCATATCTATGTTAATTAACTGCAATAATGACAAAATCAAAAACATAAAATAAATACTGTAGGCAGTGCTGTGTAGCTTTGAAAGTTCGTTTTTTAGAAAAGCACATCAGTGCCTATCAAACACTGTGAAGTACTGTGACAAAAATATCTAGGAAGTATGCACTGCAAACGTCAATATTATAAAGTCAGAAAAGGGATCCATCCAAATCAAAAACGCATCTCAAAACTTCAGTAAAATTCATCAGGCAAGCCATTTCAACGAGCTTTGGAGTAGAACCGATAGCTGAATCCTGGGGATGGAAGGCGGCGTGCTGTCCTGAAAATTGCAAACAGAATCTTCGTGACGGAATACATCACCGATCTCGCGATTATACACTTTATTTGCGCCGTTCTCTTGAACGATATCAATATCTGAAAAGTGTTAATGCATACGATCTTCTATTCAGTTTTAACAGGCTCTCCTCATCTCTCATAGTGGCACTACCTAGGGGGCGGACGTTGGACCTCGGAGATAGTTTAACCCAACGACCTACGACCACGTAGGCTGATGAGGTACAATGACATGTCTAGTCTGTCAGTGAGTCATTTGCTGTGTGGACCACGAGGTATGGAGTAAGACGCCAAGGTTCGAGGTCGACCGTGCTATCCAACGCCCTCCCCCGACCCCCGCCGGTCTTCTTGACTATGTCTTGACTCCGGTCTGGGTCAAAGCCAAAGACGCATGGCGAGACCCCAAGATACGGCTTTGGCCCGATTCTATGGCCTCCCTAAGGTGCACAAATACGGCGCTACTCTCCGACCCATCCTATCGCTCAAAGGTACTCCAACGTACGGACTGGCGTTTCAAGTTCCTGACCACTGAGTCAGACACCACGGTCTCTTCGTCAGCACGATTCCTGGAGAAACTCAAAGGGGTGAGCCTCCATCCAAATGAGGTCATGGTGTCTTTTGATGTCAATTCCATTTTTACTTCTCTCCCGCAGGATCTGGCGATCGAGGCAATCGAGCTGCTTCTACAAAGCAAATACGATGAAACGGAAAATCGTCTTGGACACGCCCAAATCCTTCAGCTCCTGGGCTCTGTCTCAGGACGTACCTCACGTTCGACGGGATAATCTACGAACAGGTGAAGGGCAGATCAATGGGTTCACCGATTTCGGGATTCATCGCCGAGGCGGTCCTGCAACGGTTAGAATCACTGGACATCCAACACCACAGACCAAAGTTCTTGCCCCAGTATGTGGATGATACCTTCGCCGTTATTGACCGGGATGAACTGCCGACATTCAAGGAACATCTGACTGCGGTCTTCCCGGACATAGAATTTGCGATGGATGCTGCGAAAGTCTGCATTCACCCTAGACTAACTCACGCACAAGTGACCATGCCTGCTTCACAACGCTGTAAAACACACAGTAGACTTCGGCGGTCAGCTAAGACTGAATTGATGTGGTTTGTACTGTAGACAAACCCCTCGCCAATACTAACTGACGTTTTTAAAACACGCCATGCAACTCAGAAGAAGAAGAAGAAGAAGATGCGATCGTTGGAACAAGACGTTTATTGGTCTGACGTTTCGGATTCTCACTCGAACCCATCATCAGAGACGGTTGCAAATAGAGGTAGTGGAGGCATGAAGACTGCAGTATTTATTGGGCGTAGCTGCCGTGAGCCGCATGCATACTATAATTAACAACTCTCGTGATCACCGTTGGGGGTTGTAACTAAAGCGATGGTGGCTCGTCAGTCCGCGTCCGAGTCGTTAATTATCACAATTTCATCATCCGTGTTGGATGATACCGTGATGATTACTGGGCCATTTGTCCCGCTGTCACCAGCATGGTTGGGCGCCCACGCCCTCCTCACGTGACCGATTCCCCTACCCCGAGGAATGTCTCAGCACTGAGTATGGTAGCGGGAGGTCATCGCGCTTGTTGATGGATTGCAGGCCTGAAAGCCATGATTCGAGCAGTCTGCGGCTCACGCGGGCGTCAGCTCTTGCGAGGATTTCGGTTTCTTGAAACTTGAAAATATGGCCAGGTTTAGTGAAATGAGCTCCTACCTGAGAGCTGGAGTCTTTCCCCTCACCGCCGCTGCGGGCTCAGTCTTGCGCGTCCGGGGTAATCACCTGGATTCTCCGACGTAGTTACTCTGTCCGAAACTGCACCACATCCGGTAAACGACTCCAGACGTTTTCTGTACTGGCAGCGGGTGCTTCGACTCCCGTGACTTGTCGCCTGGCCTCAATGAACTACTGAGAAAAGGATTCAAAAGGGCAGCATTCCAACGGCAATTCGTCTAAACCATCTAAGGACAGACCACATCATCTCCTAGCGTGAGTCACTCTGGGGCTGATGACCACAGTCCTTGTGTGATTTTTCACCTATTTTCATGCATGCGAGTGAAACGCACTAAACAGTGGCTCCCGTCATTTCCTCCACGGAGATCAGTCACGTGACTGGACAGGCCAGTGAAAGGAGGAAGAGGCTAGGAGAGTGAGGTTGAGTCTCCCGCAGGCTGCCTCAAACCGAATCAGCGCGGTCGTATCTCTAATAAATATGCTGAGCTCTGAATTACGCATAAGCGGTAAATTCATGTCTTCAAAGCTCAGAGCCGGAAGCAAAGCTCGTTCATTTATTGAAAGGGGGGTCAGATGCTGCTGTTTCTGCAAAATCCAAGATGCTCCTCTGCATATTAAACCCCGGATCGTCTTGAGTTAAGAGTCAGATCGCGAGTGGTGTTGCCAGTCTCTGCAGTCCATCAAACCGTCGGTTTCTCTGACATCATCTTATCATCATAACGCGTTGAGTGTAGAAGGAGTGAGTGAGGTCGACGCATCGTAAATCTGCTCTAATCCAAGCGAACTCGCACCCACACCACCACCACCACCACGCCCATCTCGGCCAACCCCACTGCTTCCATCAAAATTATCCCCGACATTTATTTTTAACTCGTTTATCATTATCAGAAAATGTTTGCGAATTTTTCTCATTGATTCTCTGAGCCCTTATAAATTCAAATATATTGCATAGGTAACATGCATAAAATATCAGGTCCTTTACTCACTTGGTAGAAAACTGTGTCTTCTACAAATTTTATACTTGGAGAAAGTGTATAATTTGGTTTTAAGAAACTTGTCC